TGCCTGGCTGGTAAAGGAAAATTGGATCGGTATTGGCCAATATACTCCCTCAAAAAATCAGCTTTCAGTATCAAAATCTATCAGTGCATGGACTATAGGGGTGCAAACAAATCTCTGCATGTACATGTATGGCTCAAAATATTCCATAGTTTTGGGGGAAAAAAACCTTCTGAAAGGACCTACATTGCTAAAGGCTTTTGATAACATTACCTAGCTGGTGGGGGCGGGGGGGAACAAAACTAAAAAAGAAACTTGCACCTTGTTAATTGTTTTGAACTGCTTAACTATTTTCAGAAGGATGCAAAACAATTACCAATTTACAATAAATAAAATTAAGTGTTTCTTATATGTTAGCAGTAGAAATAATTGAGAGAGGCTAAGAATAATTTAAATAAGTTCCCATTCTCCTACAGCCCCTAAAGCTGTAAGCTCATTTTAAATTCACTGCTAATCTTTCAAATGCCTGTCATTCATATGCAGAATTTCCTGAAAGGACTGAATTATTTACAACAGCCAGCAAAATTTTACGATCGATTTTGTCATGGGTTTTAAACATTTTATATTAAGGTTTGTTTCAACAGCTTTGGCCTGTTATTCAGATCTAACAAATAGCAGTGTTGTTGCAGCTGAGCAACTAAATACAGACCTCTAGTGAAGTATGTGAAGGATAAATGATTTTCACACCTGCTCTTCATCAACCAAGAAGAAAGGGGCTTCACAGTAACATATCCCATAGCTCCATCCCCACTCAATTAACAGATTAAATCAAAGAAACCCCTTTTTAAAAGTAAGCTTAACCTCCTTCCCTTCTGCCAGTCATCCATTCTTCCAAAACAAGCTGTTTTCTTCTACCCTCTTTCACCACAGAAAGTTAATGTAGGTATATGCTACATTCTAAAGGTGTAAGTGTAGCTTAAGCAGACAGGCATGCCCCAGATGGCTTTAAAACTAGCTTGGGTACAAATAATAGCATTGCTTCAGCAGCAGAGAACTCCAGAAGCCAGCCTGAGTCACATATTTACACAAGCTCCTGGGCAGGTTTTGCAGTCCCTGCTTTACTGTGTACCTAAGTTAGTGGGTTTAAAGCTGTCTTGGCTTTGTTTACATCAGCTCCAATTATACCAACAAGAGTAACGTCTCCACTGTAATCCATGCTTGACTCTTCCCACAAACCAAACCTACTCTAAGCAAGTCTCCCACAACTGCAATATAGAGGGGAGTTATTTCCTTAAAAGAAGCTAATGATGTATCATAGAAGTTTACTATCCTTCTGGAGACTGTCTTTCAATTCAAAGGAAGATAAATGTATCCATTGACATGGTAGGACAGGGATATAACTTGGCACAATGTTATGGCCCATGTATCCAAACAGGGGTTAGCTTAGTGGATGATTCCCTCTTTTAACCCACTGATCCCCTACCTCCCCCAACCTTGACTGTGCCATACTGCACTGTTGCCCTAATTTTAAGCAAGGCTCATCTTTTAAAAAAGGAAACCACCCTACCCTCCCACTCTGCCATCTTCTGTCTATGAGCTACCTAGGAGAGCTGTAATTGGAGCAGTGATTTGTCCCAGGCCAACTCAATCTAGAATTTACAACTACATCAATAGTGAAAATTCTTCTGAGTTATATAACAAATATTTAAATTCAGAGAGTTTTAAAAATAAAACCTACAGGCTTGTCCTTTTGGGTGTCTTCATTGTTGTTCCCAATGCTGTCACTGGACGATGCCATGCTCATTAAATGCTCGTGTGATCCATTGCTACCCAAGCTTCCATAACCACTGGATCCACTGTTGTGTACAGGCTAAAAACAGAATATTTGCAACTAAACTTTAACACAACTGAAGTTTATAATAACAATACACAATGATAAAAACAAACTGCTAACAAGATTCTAGCCTGTATGTTTCCTTTAAGTCCCAGATGAAACCAAAGTATATCTTAATATCAAAGGTACAGTACTATATCTACACAAGGAGATACTCCCAGATTGCAGTCCTATTTCTCAATTTTCCAATTAACTCTGCATATACACAACCCTCCGAACATCTGGTGCACTAATAGTCTGGACACCAACTCAATATAGGACTACAATTACAGACAATTTAATGAAGACAGAGTACAAGAGAAACCACAGCAAATTAAAAAAAAAAATAAGTCTGAATCAACAACATGACTACTTCTACCTGTTCAACTTTTATCTTTAAAAAAAGTTAGGTAGCTACAACTATTTATTAATGTCTTTATTGTTGGACTGAATAGGAGTATTTTGCAGTACTTCAAAACTGCTAAATAAATAGTTTAAGAGAAAACCCTATTAAATGAACAAAAAAGATATATAGATCCAAAAACCTGTCATTGGGATTAAAAAAATGAACCTTAGCTTTATCTTTGCATTCCTATAAAACATAACTGAAAGTCTTATGCATAAAACAGTGCCAGCTACTTATTAGTTATCCGAGAACCACAGGTGTTGAGCAATTCATGATGTATTGAGGGTATATATGGATTTATATGGTTTTTTCAATGTCAGATGGATAGATATTTTTCTTTCGGGTAGAATATGGTTGTTCTGATCTTCATTATAATGCTGAACAGGGTTTGATACAATGCTATCTGAACTGGGAGATTCAGTGCAATTAACTCAACTATTTCATTTGAAAAATAAACTAACAAATTGATAAAGAATCAAGAAAGGAGAAGCACTGGGTATATTTGTCAATATGATCATACCATATCAGACTGCATTTATTCAAAAGGTGAGTGCAAACGAGGGTGTAGGTTTTTAAATGGTAAAGTAATGCAGCATAGAATACAGCAACAGATATTTAAGTGACTAATGTCCACAGAATGCAAATAGTATGTTATAGTATTTTGCAGGAGGGTTAATGAGAATATATGTTTTAAAGACTGAGGTGTTCAGACAGTAGATTAATAAAGAGTTTGCAACTCCATTCAGAATAAAACCCAGGCTGTACCTGCAACAGTAGTCGGTATATCTGCTCTGTAATTTCCTGAATATTGGGATGAAGGATTTTATCCTCTGTATAGGTAGGAGAAGCAGCAAACACATCTTCATTTAAGGGTCCCCTGTACAAATGAAAAAAGAATATCCTATCCTTTGCAAATGCAGGCATTTTTGTTGTAAAATCAAAACAGTTTTAATTCATCTTCAACAAAAAAATTCTTGTTCTGACTCTACCACCTCTACAAAACTCTGAACTTGAGTAAGTGTTCAGCCTTACTCGCTCTGAACTCGAGTTCTCCCTTCTGAAGTAACTCTTGACAACATTGGAAAAAATCTGTGCCACTTAGAAACGTCTTATTAAAGCATTCCCTATAGCATAGTATACACTCACAAATCCAAAACCCAAATATTAAAGTAAAAATAACAGTTTCTGATTGCACCAATTTAACACACACATGCTGTGAAAGCTTACGAAATATGAGAAATTCTAATAAATTTGTCTCCTTACGTTCTAACTTTATGTCTTCCAATAATAAATGAGACTTTTCGGCTCCATGGGTTGATGAAACTGGACCAGCTTGTGTCCAGAGTTATATATTCTCCATTTCTAGTGCAGAATCTGATTGGTGAGTAGTCAAAAGGCTGTCCACCATACTGAAGTACTGCAACACAAGTTTTAGATGCATCTCATTTTTATATCTGTATATGGGAAGTGTGTTTCAAATAGTTTTACACAGTTTTGCAGTTAAACAAAACCCAAAAGTTTAAGTACACATGAGAGGCAAGAAGTACATCCAATAAATAAACTGACTACTTTCATATCTGGTGGAAAATTATAAGCATATGGCCACCAGAGGGAGCTGACTGCACCGAGGAAAATATTCCCAGAGCATAGCAGTATAAGGAAAGATAACTGCAGAAGTCATTACATTTCTAAAGTTTCAGCAAGAAAAGATAATATTCCTAGAGAGGGACCTATATTTTCAGTACATTTCTGAAATGAGAAAAAAGGTAATAATTCATAATTATTACTCTATCGGTATACCTGGGATATGTTTATACTAAAGATCTGAAATATTTACTTATGGCTATGGCCAATTTGTTCTAACAGGCAGATATAGTACTAAGAATGTGAGTCATCTCCATTTTCTATTGATTTATGTTAAATATTGAAAACAAATGAAAACAAATGAAACAGTTCATTTCTCAAAAAAAGTCAGAAAACTGAATATCATTATGCAGTAGCTTCCCTTTTGCCTCTTATTTTTCTGAAGACTTTAGAGCCCCTAAACACCCATTTTTTTTTTAAAAGCTAAAAAAAATAAATAAATAAAACGTATCTGACAGGTAAGAGGAACATACTTTTTTTGTGAATTGCTAGCATTAAAGGTCTGTCACTTGGGTGAAGATGCACCAATACAGGGGTTCCTATCAAGTCTTGAGGTAGGAATCCTAAAAGAGGTACAGCTCTGCGGAAAGGGAGAGAGAAAAAAAAAAAAAATGAAGTCAGGCAGAATAAACGTGTACATGAAATCCTATATTTATTTTACAGAAACTCTCTGTAACGCTACATGCAAATGTTCACGTTACATGTGGCACTCCAAAAACTGTGCTACAAAGAGGTTTGCAGCAGGAACTTTCTTGTGGGGGCTCCACAATCTTTGTCACTTTATAAAAGGCCTGAAAGCATGCACACTCACTTTTTGTAGTGCTATAGGGGCATCTATATACCACTACAAAAGTAGTCCATGCACGTAGCCTAGGCTTTGGCTTTATTTGATTTTTTTACATCATCGATACCAGCTCAAGATAAGCAACAACCCTCTTGTGTAATACTATAGTTTTTTCCAGTTTACAAAAAAAAGTTGACTAGGAAAAAGGTTAAGTAAGTTATTCTTAGTTATAGCACTTACCTTGGTGTTCTTTTTTTTATGTTGCCTATCAAAGTATAAGCACCTCCTTGTCAATAGCAAATAGTAATAGACTTATGGTCATGAAGCTGCTGTGAAGTAGGAAAATACCAGATTGTGACCAAAAAGCCTGAAAGGTCACACACACACTTCCATAGCAGACCTAGGAAGATTTCTGGAGTCCCCATCCAATGCCTTCCTTCTTTTCCAATGAATACTTACAAGTTCTGTAATGTTTTAAGGGAATCACCTCACTATTTAAAATGCTCAGAGGAATTAGGAAGGACTCCTTTTAAAAAATAGGCTAGTGATCAACAGGGATCCTGGTTTTCCCCGATAGAGAATTTGCAATATTTTTTCTAATTAAAAAACCCCAAATCCATGATTGAAATGAAAGGCCTATATATATCTATATCTAGCTATCTATATATACGTATCAGTTGTGAACTGTTTTATTGATATATTTACAATTTTGAAGCAATTTGAAAGCCTACCAGTGCCCCAATTGCTATAATAAGATACATTTTAAGTATCTATAAAGTTTTGGTATTGGATTTTGGGGTTTTTTTATAATGGAAAAATCAGAGCCGCACCCCCCCCCAGCTCACAGAACAGAGGTCCAGGCCACTCACTCCCCTCCCACAGTCCCCTGGCCATGCCAGTGCCCTCACTTCCCTGCCACCCCCCTCTGGCACCCCCTGCCCCCCCACAGCCCTGCTGGAGGGTGCCCCCATCTGCCAGGGCTACAGGGCCAGGGACCTGGGTCCAAGCTTGGGCAGTCACCTGCGGGAGGCAGTGGCTGCTGCAGCAGAGTGAAGCACAGAGCCCAGCCCCTGCCTGCTGTGGGCTTGGGCAAGGCCAGCTCCCTGACACTGTGCGTACTCCCTGGGGAGCGTGCCCCTCCCCACACCAATGTGTGTGGGGTGGGGATGGGCTGACTGCTGTGGGCTCAGGCTCCCCACCCTGCTTCCCCCCATTATTGCCCCTCACCCCAGGGCCTCTGCAGCCCAGTGGGTGTGACAGGGCAGAGGGGGTCATACAGGGAAGCTCCTTGCTGCTGCAAGCTCTGTGCTGCCCTGGAGAGGCACCCCTTAACCACATGGCAGCAATGAGAGGTACAACCTGCAACATGGCCCATGCTGCTGCTGTGTGGGCAGGGGATGCCTTGCCAGGGCCGCATGGAGCTCCCAGTAACAAGGAGCTGCCCTGCACTGCTAGGTTGAATTTGCTGGGCTGTAGAGGCCCCAGGAGAGGGCAGCAGGCTGGGGAGCCTGAGCCCACCCCCACCCTGTGCACAGGTCTTGGGGGCACAGGATCCCTCTACCTTCTCAGGAGCACATGCATTGCTGGGGAGCTGGCCCCCCATCCCCTGGATGAGCCGCCCACAGCCCCATCCTGCTCCCTGCTGCAGCCCTGCATTCTGGCCCCCAG